CCTGGAAGCTTGCTTCCTTGCTTTCCCTTTTTCTCTCTGTGTGTCTCTCCGGTAAAAATTTTAAAAGAATAATAATAACGAATGAAATGAAATAAACTAGTTTAATTTTGAAAAAGAGAAATTAACCTATTAGAGAATTAAGACTCTCAGATTAGAGTCAATTAAGATTATTTTTAAAAATGGGACAAAAACATGAGGTAAACAAAATACATAAAGAAAGTGAGGGTCACAAACAAGAATAACACATAAGGCTGACTTTGAGACCAAAGTACAAAGATAGCGATACCTTCTCAAGAAACAGTTAATTAGGATAAACTTTTATACTTTTATACCACAATAGTATTCATCAAAACACATAAACTATATCAGTTAAGAATTCAAAAAGAGAAAAATAATAGTAATAGAATGCTTAATTCCTTCTATCATGTGGCCATTAATCAAACAGGAAAAAAAATAAGAACGTTAAGGTACATGCAAATAAAATAATGCAGTAAATCAAACTTCTTGGTAAAGATGGTAAAATAAAACCAAGTGACAAAATCTTCCACCTCTCAAACTAACAAGAAGGAATGGAGAGAGGAAGAAGAAAGGGAAGAAAAGAGAGTAGTTAAGAACTGGCAAAAATAAATTCAACAACAGAAACATACAAGTTGATGCTACAATAATAGGGAAACTCAACATGAGAGTTAAAATATACAGTTACACTGATTTGACTCTACTCAGTGTGACACCTAACCCTATTACCACTTGTGTAGTAACAGTGAAATAAAGTAAACACATATAATAAGAATTATATATACTTCTATCTACATACAGACACATTTCTATATGTGCACATGTGTGTATGTGTGTGAAGATAAATGATCAGAAAAAAACACAATGCTATGCAAACAGCAACTTAGAATTATTCCTTGAATTATATATGTGAATTAAAAAGAAGTTATTAAGATTTGTCAATAAAGAGACCAATAAAAACCAAGTCAAGGAAGTAATTAGACCAATAGCTAAGTTCTAACGAATACAAGCTGAGAGCTGAAAAAGTAGACAGTATTATAAGCTATTCTTTCTAAAAGTTTGATGATTAAGAAAAGAATATGGATAGCACAGTAGCTTAAAGAGCAGATAAAGGTTTTATATATATATATATATATACACACACATACACACACACACACACACACACACACACACTCCTGCTGTCTCTTTCCAATGAGTACACACTCCCTAGAGCAAAAATCTAAAAAAGAATAAAAGAAAGAAATATAATCAAGGAAACTAACTGGGGCCAGGACTAGTAGTTAGCATAATGACTATGTCGCTGAACTCCCATGTAGTCGACCGTGGTTCGAGTTCTAGACCCGGTGGCTTAAAACTCACGCCAGGCGCATATGCGTGTGTGCCCAAGATCCTGAGAGGAGAATGGAGGAGAAGGGATTGTGGCATAGCCATACCCCCTGGGGGGTGATTTCTTGCTTTCTGTCTCTATGTCTTTCTGGTGAGCGCATATGCCCTATAGCAAAAATCTCTCCAAAAAAAGAAAAGAAAAGAAAACTAACTGGAGCTGACAGGTGGCATGGTTGTTAAGGCATTGGACTCTCACATGGTCAACCATGGTTTGATTGAGTCACAAACCTGGAAGCTTGCTTCCTTGCTTTCCCTTTTTCTCTCTGTGTGTCTCTCCGGTAAAAATTTTAAAAGAATAATAATAACGAATGAAATGAAATAAACTAGTTTAATTTTGAAAAAGAGAAATTAACCTATTAGAGAATTAAGACTCTCAGATTAGAGTCAATTAAGATTATTTTTAAAAATGGGACAAAAACATGAGGTAAACAAAATACATAAAGAAAGTGAGGGTCACAAACAAGAATAACACATAAGGCTGACTTTGAGACCAAAGTACAAAGATAGCGATACCTTCTCAAGAAACAGTTAATTAGGATAAACTTTTATACTTTTATACCACAATAGTATTCATCAAAACACATAAACTATATCAGTTAAGAATTCAAAAAGAGAAAAATAATAGTAATAGAATGCTTAATTCCTTCTATCATGTGGCCATTAATCAAACAGGAAAAAAAATAAGAACGTTAAGGTACATGCAAATAAAATAATGCAGTAAATCAAACTTCTTGGTAAAGATGGTAAAATAAAACCAAGTGACAAAATCTTCCACCTCTCAAACTAACAAGAAGGAATGGAGAGAGGAAGAAGAAAGGGAAGAAAAGAGAGTAGTTAAGAACTGGCAAAAATAAATTCAACAACAGAAACATACAAGTTGATGCTACAATAATAGGGAAACTCAACATGAGAGTTAAAATATACAGTTACACTGATTTGACTCTACTCAGTGTGACACCTAACCCTATTACCACTTGTGTAGTAACAGTGAAATAAAGTAAACACATATAATAAGAATTATATATACTTCTATCTACATACAGACACATTTCTATATGTGCACATGTGTGTATGTGTGTGAAGATAAATGATCAGAAAAAAACACAATGCTATGCAAACAGCAACTTAGAATTATTCCTTGAATTATATATGTGAATTAAAAAGAAGTTATTAAGATTTGTCAATAAAGAGACCAATAAAAACCAAGTCAAGGAAGTAATTAGACCAATAGCTAAGTTCTAACGAATACAAGCTGAGAGCTGAAAAAGTAGACAGTATTATAAGCTATTCTTTCTAAAAGTTTGATGATTAAGAAAAGAATATGGATAGCACAGTAGCTTAAAGAGCAGATAAAGGTTTTGACTTTTTAAAGTGATGATAGAAATTTTATTCATGTTTATTACCTAATGTGTAAAAACTGAAGACCGCTGAGGGTTTAATCAAGAGCAGCAGAGAGAGGGCCAGATGTTATAGTGCATCAGTAAAATATGATGCTCTGCAAGGCTATCCATGAAAGTTCACAGTTCAAGTCTGGAAATATCCTTGAGTACAACAAGCACACACACATCCATGGTCCAGAGCGGATAAAGACTAGGGGTGGATCAGAGCATGGGGATCAGATAGGGGATGCTGTCTGCCAGTCAATCAGTCTGTCTCTCTCAGAAAAAGAATAAGTAAATAAAATAAATAAACAAAAAGAGCAGAGCATCAGAAGGACTTATCCTCTATTGAAACAGTAGGCTAAAGGTAAGAATGAATGTTACTGCTTTAGGTGAAACTTAAAACCTTTTATTTATTCCTTTAACAAATAATTACTGCTGGGGCCAGCAGGTGACATAGTGGTTAAGGGGTTGGACGCCCGCATGGCTGAACATAGTTCAAGTCCCAGACCTGGCAGCTTGAAAAATCATGCCAGGTGTATGTGCACACATGCCCAAAATCCCAAGAGGAGAATGGAGGAGAAGGGACTGCTGCATGGCCATTCCCAATGGGGATTAATTTATCACTTTCCTTCTTACTGTCTCTGCCTCTCTCCTTTAAGCATACGAGCCCTACAGGAAAAAACCTTAAGGAAAAAAGAAAATACTTACTGAAAAGTATAAAAATTTCAAAGTCCTGTGCTTGAAGGAAAAACAAAGATAAATAAGATATGATCCTAGCCCTTTAAGAGTTTACAATATAGGGGACCAGCAGATGACTTAGCACTTATAAAGCTGGACTCCCACATGGTCGACCACAATGTGAGTTCTGGACCTCAGCTTGAAAATCACACGGGGTAGGACCAGCAGATAGCGTAATGGCTACGTCGCTGGACTCCCATGTAGTCACGTCAGGTGCATGTGTGTGTGTACCCAAGATCTCAAGAGAAGAATGGAGGAGAAGGGACTGCAACATGTCCATCAGTCCTGGGGGGTGAGTTCTCGCTTTCTGTCTCTCTGTCTCTGTCTTTCTGGCAAGCACATGTGCCCTATAGCAAAAACCTCAACAGGAAAAAAAAAAAAAAGAGTTTACAATATAATGTAAAACACCCGGTGAAATAATTATTTTAATATAAGACTGAAGGGTTATAAGAATTCTTAGATACAATTAGTTCATATTTGCAAAATGAGAGTATCTGTAAGATTTTCCAGGAAAAGGATGAAAGGAATTAAATGCAGAAAACAAAGTAAACAAATTAACAGAGGCTTCACATTCAAAGTGTATGTTATCTAGGCTGTCAACAGAGAGATTAAGAAAATGGGTTTTGGGGAACCAGCAGTTAGCATAATGGCTATGCCGCTGGACTCCCACGTAGTCGACCACGGTTCGCGTCCTGGACCCAGTGGCTTAAAACTCATGCCGGGCGCGTGTGCGTGCGTGCCCAAGATCCCGAGAGGAGAACGGAGGAGAAGGGATTGCGGCGTGACCATCCCCTCTGGGGGGTGATTTCTTTCTTTCTGTCTCTATGTCTCTCTCTGTCTGTCTGGCAAGCACACGCGCCCTATAGCAAAAACCTCTCAAAAAAAAAAAATGGGTTTTAAAGTCATGAAAAATAGACCTAAATTTGAATTTTAGCCATTTTTTCTTCCTTATATATGATTTTGAAAAAATAACCTAATTTTTGTAAAGATTAATAGGTAAGTATAATATTGTTATAAGGATTAAACTAAATGTAAGTAGGGTACTCAGAACAGTGCCTGTCATATGGAAAACAAAAATAAAATTAGCATTTTTCATGTAAAAATATAAATCAATTTACCTTGTAAACTACAAAACACTAGGCAGATACGTCATTTTTTTCCTGAAATATGATGAAGAGCTAAAGCACACATCTAAATATACAAGCACTTTTAATACATGAGACAGTATTTCTGAAATACTACAGTATATTGTAAAGCATTTGTATTCTAAAAAATACACTTATATTTATGTGTTTGGAATTTAAATGACAAAATATGCTATGTACTTCTAGAAAAAAGCCTAAAAGTAAAAACCTGTTTCCTCATCCCTGATTACCAAAATTTATCAAATTATTTTTCTAACATGTTACTTTTATGAAAATGCAAAGTTGCACCTAAATGTTACAATCATTTTATCTACACTGCGGCAAAACCTACCTTTTCTTCTCTTTCTATTTCAAGTTGCTTCTTAACAGACAAAAGTTCGTTTTTGAGACTGGATAGTTCAATCTCCTAAAGAAAAAAAGATAAAATTTATAAAAAACTTCCGTGTATTTCTCAAGATAATGAAAATGTAAGCTAGTGCTTCAAGTAAATCCAGTTTTATAGAGGAATAAATTAATTCAAAATACATATACTTTAAAAATCTACTGATAAGGGGGCTGGCAGGTGGCATGGTAGTTAAGGGCACAGGATTCCCACATGGTTGACCACAGTTCAAATCCCAGAACTGGTGACTTGCATTCTCGGTTTTCCTCTCTCTCACTCTGTCCCTCTCTGATCAAATTAGAACTGATTCATTAATTTAATTACAGTGGATTGTTCTTTTTTAAAAAAGCAAAGTCTACTAATAAGAATACTGCTAGTTAAGGGACCAGCAGGTGGCATGGTGGTTAAGGTGCTGGACACTCCCACGTGGCCGACCACGGTTTGAGCCCTGGACTTGGTGGCTTGCTTTCTCACTTTCCTCTCTCTCTCTCTCTCTCTCTCTCTCTCTCTCT